CGACAGAAGAGTTAGCGAAAAATGGATAAGGGACATAAGCTGTTATGATGAAAATAGTTTCTTTGAAATAACAAAAGCGACACACTGTAACCGTGCAAGAATATTCCAATATAAACTTGCTAATCGCATATTGTCAACGAATACATATTTAAAGTTAATAAATATTACTGAAAATGATAGTTGTACATTTTGTAAGGAAGAACCAGAAACATTAGCCCATATATATTGGTTATGTCCTCACACGCGGACATACATCACATCAATTAAGACGAGTTTATTGAGCAAATACAACATCAACTTAAATATACAACGAAAGAACTGGTTTTTCCTCACAAATGTTACGGAAATGGAAGCATGTCTATTAGTATTTGCCAAGATGGTTATATACGAAGCGAGATTAAAGGAAAATATCCCAAATATATCACATTTGGAAAATAAGCTGAAGCAATTAGTTAACACAGAATACAGTATCGCGAAAAAAGCCAACACATTAGACGCATTCAAAAAGAAATGGGGCTCCTTGAAAAACTTAGCAACATCAACCAGCGGTATTTAAACAATCAGTCACTCACACAACGAAGCAATTGCACACACCCACACACTCACCTACCCACGCACATACACACACGCGCGCACACATCCACATTTAGAACCGCGCAGGTGGCCAACAGCAGCAGTATCGCGCACAAATGCACCCAAGCACGCACACCCCAACAAATACGCACACACACGCGCTCACAATCCTCACCCTTCCTCAACCATTATACACAAATCTTCATCCCTGAAGCTGCTGCGGGCAGGCTGGTCGAGTTGTCGCGCCGGGCGATCTCGTGCGCGGCCGGGGGCGGCGCGGTCCTCTGCGCCCGTTGTTGGTCCGTCCGCCGCTGTCGCCGCCTTCGCGGGGCTGCCGCCGTCGGAATCGAGCTCTGCTGGCTCCCGCCGGCGGGGCTGCTTTAGCTTAGTTGCATACATTGGTTTAGTTGCATCAGATTTCAGTACATACATTGTGAGCACGTGTGCAGAGTGGGAAGCTGCCGGCGCCGCGTTGCTTGGATCCGCCGGCCCGGCCTCCGACGTGACTGTGTGTGTGGTGTGTAATTGTATACCTCTCTGGGCAGAAACGCGAACTGTAGACAATGTGTGGGTGGGTTTTGGCGCTGCTGAGGTTGTGGCAAGTGTCAACCTCTCGGATTGATTGGCATGAGCCACCGTTGCCGTTCGAAGTGAATAAACCGAAAAAAAGATACTGTAAACTCTATAAAGATCTGAACATCTGCGACCTGTTATTTACAAAAACTACCTATACGTCGAGAAAGTTGTATTATAGAAGAAACGGGCCGTTATATGTTATATGCATAAGCCTCGCAGCACCGCGGCTATTTGAAGGCGAATGTGAGCAGCGTGAACGACCACATCCCTTTTTGCTTTTCTCAGGACTATCCCAGAACCATTTGAACCTTGTACTCAGCGGGCTAACGATCATTTCCACCAAACAGTCGTCGTTGAGGACAAGTCCTCGTTCGCACTGCACCCGCCAACCTCTTCAGGGTGACCGCTTCGAGGCGCAGGGCTGGTTGTCCCAAGCAACGGGACCTTTCCGTCCTACTATGCTTGTCTCTGCCATCGCTGCGCACAGTTGGCGGTCCACTTAGCCAAATGTCTCCAATTTTGTTTTACTCTGCTCTGCTCTGCAACTCTTGCTCTGCAATTGCCACGTCAGACCAAAAACTCTGCTCCCATTCAAAAAGACGTGAACGGCGCGGTGACCAGCGCGATGGAGGCGGTTAGATCTGCCGAAGGTAGCCGCGGTGGGCACTTTCAACAAACCACTGTGCACCCACAATAGGTCACTGGGAAGTGTGGCACCCACGCTCGGTAGCATCGGCCCGGCAACAGGCCGCCGGGCACCTGCAAACTGTATCAACCCGCCGGGCAACTACCAACTGCAACAGGCCGCCGGGCACCTACAATCTGCATCAGGTCGCCGGGCTCCTATAATGTACACCTGGCCTCCGGGCTGGCAATCTGCACCCGCAGCAATCAGTGGGCCGCCGCGCTGGCAGGCAGGCCGCTGACCTGTCCACGCCGCCCGCCGTTCGCCGGCGCGGCCGGCGCGCTTACTGCTGAATGGGAGCACCGTGACACTTTGGAGCCGGGCCGGGCGTCTCGCGTGCCCCGCCAGAAAGCGGGCCGCACGGCCGGTTGTAGGCCAGCCAGCGCAGCCGGACATGGGTTTGGGGTCGAGGGTCGACCGGGCTCAGCACCGACTCGGTCCCGATACTATGGACGGGCAGACTGGGACTGGTGCTGTATCACAGGCATCCAGGACTGGCTCGGGATCGGTCTGCGTCACGGATGTAAGCAGACGCAAAGACAGAGACTGACTGCATTGCAAAAGAAGGTGGCTGCTGTGCAGTGTAGTGTGCTATGTGCTCAGAAAGCGCTCGACCCATAGGCATCACTATATTATAATCTATATTATAATCGTGTCGTACTGCAATATTCTGGCCATATGATGAAACATTCTTATCCCCGTGCATCTCAAGATTTAGTGTAGGTGAACGATCCCATTGCACACTGTAAAAAAAGATTAGCACCTCAATGGTACTAATTCAGATGTCAAATCTGAGCACCTAAATGCGGCTTAAACCTAGCTCCGTAGCACCTAGTACCATATTTTTGAAGCTGCTAGTTTTAAGCATGGTGCTCAAAGGTAGCACGTGCTAGACTTAGCCCCTGCTAGGTTATAGCACCCAGCTTCTAGATTGGGTATTTAATTTAGCATCCGATGGGTGCTAGTACTTTAGCACTCTAGGGGTTCTCATGTCAAATCGGAGCACCCAAAAAAGTGCTAGCAGCTGCTTGGTTTAAGCACCCTAGGAGTGCTAAATCAGGTTATTGTGGTAAATAATACAAAACATCCAGTTCAAGAGGCCCATTAAAAGCAACGATGATTTACAATTCACCGAAGTATCAGAAACAACTTTCTTACATTCAGGCTAGTTACTAGATATACGAGTAAGCACGCATGTCTCATTTTATACAGCTGTAGAACATACAGAACACACTGCCACTCAAAGAACAGCTGCTGCTCAATTTGGGTAAATTGCTGCATTTCACTATATGCGCGCGCGCGTGTCTGTGTGTGTGTGCGCGCGAGCACGTCTTTTCTGTACCACCGCTACCGTTTGATTTAGAACAAACATCAAGTGGGCACGTGCAACGATGTATTAGTCAACATTAACAACGAATGTACCCATGGGCGCTATGCCACCTTACGCCATCTCCCGACAGCCCTTTGCTGATAAAAGACGCCGTCTGAAAAAGCCCCCTCTCGATCTCACCTTTTTCCAACAATCATAGCAGAATGAAAATGAACACCGAACTTCTTTTAACGTGCACATCACGGCCACGCTATAGGCTCCTCCGCTATCACTCTGGCGAGCTTCCAGGTCAGTGCTCATGCTCATGAGATAGGTGGCCGACTGGCCATGTCTCCTGCCTCCTGGCCACCTGCTGCGCTCAGCGCTCGACCCCGGCGGTTTGCACAAAAAGCTTTGTTTTTCTTCACTTCAATGTTACAGAACACTCACAGTTATAACATATTGACTTCAAACAAACGTTTTAAAAATATGTATGCCATAACCAAACCAACATATACCCAGAGTTCAGCGCAGTGCACCTGCATCAGCGTCCAAACTGACACAATGGCGGTCACAAAATGGCCGAATGCCGAATCCCGGAGAAAATTAGCACCTTAAGGGTCCGCTTTTTCCCGCGCAAACCCCCCTCAAGCTCATTTTAATCACTTAAGTACTAAATAACAGCACCACCAGCTGCAAGCGTGCTATAACCAGCGCCATAAAGATAAACAGATGCTAGCGCCAATCACCTTGTAAAACAAGAATCAAATTTAGCAGCACCATTACATGCTGGCGCCATCATGGTACTTCTTCGCGCACCAATCATGTGATTTGCAGCACAGGGTACTTGAAGTAAGCAACAAATGGGGAAGTTACTTAAATCTAGAACCCTTTTAGCACCAAATTAGCAGCATGGATGCTAATCTTTTTTACAGTGCAGGGTGCGCCATAAATAATTTCCCATCGATAAATTCACTTTATTTCCAAACTGGTTGGCGTAGATATGCCATCTTTTGCATATATGTCGCAAATTTGTCTCCAATCCTGACAGTGTAGCTCATTTTGTATATGCTCGTCCACTGTCTCTGCTACGCTCCTGAAATGCGAGGTCGTCTTAACGCACATCCGCCGCTCCTGAAATTCAGGAATCACCACTGGGTGTTGGCTGCTAAACACTCTTTGGTCTAAAGAATGCTGGACACAATTTATCCCCGACTTCAGCTCCACGGCCTTCGCAAACTGAAATATCCCGAAAAGTGAAAACCCTACTGTACCGAGTCCCTGAAACACCGCAAATGACATACGGTGCAGCATTGTTACAGCATGGATGATCGAGGAAAATAAGTGAAAAGACGGTGCGGCGGCCGCGTGCCATAGTGCTCTTGCGTCTCGGGCGCGTAACATGAGAAGAATGCGAGCATACAGAAAACAGACTACATTTATTAGATAGGAGATGACGTTGTTATATGTATGTAAAAGATGACATAGCCATGTCAGTGCGCCTTGAAACAAAGTGAAATTTTCGATGGATAAATCTTTATGGCTCACCCTGTAGATACTTTCCTACCCGATCCTAAAATAAATGGTCCGTTTTTATGTTTGGCATGTTTTGTTATATAATGCCGAATAATGCTTACTAAAACTCTTACAAACGATCGTTTTATTTTTGCCTTAGTGTTAGTGTCCGGTTGTGGAATTACTTAAGTTTTAAAGCATGTACCGTGTGACATCGACTTTCGAGTATAAACCGCGAGCCGATGACGGTGCCTCAGCCTCTCTCCTGGTCAGTCGCCTGTGTCGGGACATTCTCTCGGCAGGATGCGACACTTGAGTTGACCTTACGTGCCCGTCTTTCAGACCCGCGTCTGGTGAGCCGCGGCAGCGATGGCGGCCGCGCTGGCCGGCGAGCAGCTACAGCCGGACGACCTCAGCGTGCGGCCCGGTCGGCGGGCCGACTCGGCCTCCCCTCCGCCGGCGCCACCGACCCCGTTCTCGCAGCTGAGTCGGCTCCTGCAGGCCGGCGCAGCGCCCGAGCCGCCCGCCCCGGCCGCGCCGCTGCGCTGCCACACCGAACACTGCACCTTCGAGACGTTCAGTCGGGCCGCGCTCGAGGCGCACGCGCGCGGCCACGACAGCCGCCGGCTCTATGAGTGCGACGTGTGCCAGCTGCGCTTCACCAACGGCGCCAATCTCCGCCGGCACCGGATGAGACACACCGGCTTCAAACCATACGAGTGCCGCGCTTGTAGCAAGCGCTTCTTCCGTCGCGACCACTTGCTCGAACATATGAGCACGCACGCTAAGGCGGCCGGCCGCCGCCTGCCCTGGCAGTGTCCCGTCTGCGCCAAAGGCTTCCAGAGGCAGATCGCAATGCGCGCTCATTACCAGAACGAGCACGTGCGGGAGGCGGCCGCCGGCGTGCAGTGCCGGCTGTGCGGGTACGCCGCTGCCTCAGCGCACGCTCTGCACGCCCACCTGGCCGCACAGCACGGTCTGCAGGTGGGCGCGGCGCCTACACCCGCTCCGGCACCGGCGCACCTCCTTCTGGCGCCGCTCGAGCTGCGGGCCGAGCCAGAGTCACCGCCCGGGTCACCCCGTCCTTCCCAGGTGTCACCAAACAGCTCGACACAGGCGTCTCCGGGCAGTCCTGCCGATCCGGGCCCGATGCCGGGCCCCGCGCCGGCTGTTGTCAAGACGGAGCCGCGGGAGCCACCGGTGTCTGCAGAGGAGCATCAGGACCAACAGGAAGATAGAGAGGAGGAGGAAGAGGAGGGAGAGGACGAGGAGCAGCGGGAGAACGGGCCGGCCGCGGGCGCTCCTCTGTTGGTGCGCAGAGCACCCGGACTGCAGTCCACAAACGGTGAGTTGGACAGCAATGGAGCCTCCGGGAGCTTAGGACAGCTGAAGTGTGTCGCAAAAGGGTAATTTCTGAACGGTCAGTAATAATTTCATGTCAAGAACATCCTAAACCGATTAAGGCAGGCACCTCATTGAATCGTGTAGAATGTTGTTTTATTTGTATTAAGTTAATGCCAAATCATTAAATAAGTTCACAATAAAAATTACCCGTTTTAATGATGTTCAATAATACAATGGTAATCAGATTGCGTTTTTTCCATTTGCACCAAATTCGGAGCCATTACCGGCCTGTAACTGACAGCGTTCACCCTCTGTCGACAGTGGGCGCCGGACCTCCATCGGAGCCTGCCGGGGGAGGCGGCGGCTCGGACCGGGCGCCGGCGCCCTCCCAGCTGCGCTCACTGCTGCAGGAGCGGCGGCCGACCGTGGGCCGCGCCAGCCCTGCCGCCCTGCTCGCCGGCCGGCGCACCACCCACCTCTGCACCTTCTGCGGCATCCTGTTCCCCGACCAGACCCTCTACTTCATGCACAAGGGCTGCCACGCCGAGAACAACCCGTGGAAGTGCAACATCTGCTCGGAGGTGTGCCACAATGTGTACGAGTTCAATTCGCATCTTCTGAGTCAGTCGCACCAGTGATATGACGGTGACCGAACTGATGTGACAAGACACAACTGACGTTCAGTGACGTGACTGATATGGACTGATTGTGACTGCCGACTGTGCGGCGCTCTAATTGGACTGAGTGCGCTCATGAGCGAGTGTTGAACTCGGGCGCCGGTCGTGGACCGGCCGGTTTCCCGGCGTCGGGCCCGGCCGGCGCCGCCGCCGGTAGAGTGGCCGTTTTTCCGGGCGTCTCGGGCGCGGCCGGCCACCTCCGGTTGGTCTCGTTTTCAATGAGGTCAGCGCCGCCTCTGTGGGTCAGCGGGCCACGGGCGGCGCCGGCGGCCGGCGGCCGACTCGGAGCGACGCGCCGCTGTCACCCGGCGCCGGGGCATCGGCCGGGAAAGTGGCAAAATGACGTAATACGGTACAAGGTGATAGCCGCTTCACCCATTTTGTACAATCACTCATTGATAATAGGTGTGAATGCGTTGTGCCTTATTGTGGATCAAGCCATTGAGTGGCTTGTTATTGCACTCATTATTTATTTTAAATGACAACTCATGTGTGGTAGGATGATCGCGAAAAATGACAATAATATGAAAATTGTGATCGATAAGTGACGAAGACATGTGCATTGTTCAATTGTCATAAGCTAGTAGAAACGGTGGCGCGAAAGGGGCCACGAATCCACCGACTACCGAGGTATAACACTTCTCATGGGTATCTGTTTCATGCTTTCTTTAGCCAAGTAGCGGCGTAGAATAGTCTTCCCCGTCATTTTGTATCTTCTTATTGTTGTTATTGTTGTTTGTTTGAGAGATGGCACTGCTTGTTTGATTTGACGCCGTTGTGAATTCTGCGTTCCAAGGCCGAAACAGGGCTGCCCAATGCTGCGCTCGATGCGAGCGTTGGCGCGCAGAAAGACGATTTGAAAATATGCGTCGGGTGAGAGCAGCTACTGAGAGGCTGGGAGTTCACCCCACCGAACCACCGTCCTAATTGTGATATTGTCTGTCCGGCTTCGATAGACAGTGCCGTGAAGCTAAACGACCACCAGACTGCCCCCTACTGCCAGACTGGCCTCCGACTACTGCCAGACTAGCTCCAGACGACTACCGACAGACTGACCCAGACTACAACCAGAAGCCGCATCCGCCCCACTCCGACCTACATGGACAGAGCAAACGGTCGCACAAAGCCACATCACTCGCCTATTATCTCCCAAGTACCCTAGCAAACACCATTCAAGCCCATTTCCCCTGATGATCCACTAAGAGTCCTCAGTAAGCTCGGCGAGCCAGGTCAACGACGCTGGACTGGCCAGACCGGTTTATTAACTCCAAACAACGTTACTATGGTTTGCTCTCGGGAGATTATCCCTCCCCTCTCCCATCAGACGGACCGAACAAATCGCCTTCACGCCTACCAGGCTGTTCATCATCAAACAAGTGTTCATTCACTATACGAGCGAACCGACAAGCGTTACAGACCTCCATCTTACCGTTTCACAGAATCCCATCATATACATATGTAGATAGGAGACATATCTATCCCGACTCATCAATAAGATTCCCGACCCATCAGACAGACTACATCATCCCACTCCATCAGACTCCCCCGTCCCATTAGACAGACTCCACCATTCCATCAGACTCCACCATCCCATCAGACTCACACATCCCACAAGACAGACTCCCCGTCCCACAAGACAGACCCCCCGTCCCACTAGACACTAGACAGGCCCATGCCCCTCCCTCCCACCGAGATATACATCACCACATGACCTGCCGCCAAACGCGCACCAATCGCGCCGTTACGCCGATGCGTTGTTGATTTGTCACGTTGTTACGATATGGTTGTTACGATGTGGTTGTTACGATGTGGTTCTAGAACTGTTGATCTGTAGTGTTCTCGAAGGCCGTGAAATCAATACACTGCCTCCTTCGGATGGATGACAAACCTTGTGTGAACCTTGGTGAATACTGGCAGACGATTGTCAGATTCTTTCCAATTCGCTTGAAACATCCAGGTAATTATCACAGCTTTGAAGCATATAAGCGTTTTCTGAAATGGTGAGTCCAACTTTTTGACACGTTTCCGAAGAAATTGATTACAATACGGGCATAAACCAATGTAAAAGACACAAATCCTGATGAAATATTGCTCTAGTAATATGTCATTACCCTTGAAAAAGTTATAATAAACGAAACGTCGGGTAATTTGTGTTGTAATATCTTGCATATTTATGAAATTACTCTAGTAGTCTAACTTCTTTTAGCCCGCCTCACTCGTATGTGGAAGCAAACCACCAACAAATGTGATATGATCTCAGATTGGGTTTCTTATAAGAAACTGTATTCATGCCGGCACATCGTTGAAAGAGTACACATTGCACATAGATCCTGCTGTTTCCAGCTGAGCGGAGGGCCCCTCCACTAATACACGTCGCAACCACGTCTGTCAAGCCATGTCAGCCATCGACCTCACCCTCAAGGCCCCCTCAGCCCCCAAATCGAGGGTGAACGGTACTGCCATGGCTGAGGCGTGCCCACCGACGCTCACAGGGCTGCCCACCGATTAAAAACCGCTCACCAGAGGTTTCTCACCGGGCTGGCCACTGCTTACCAGCCTGCTCACAAAGCAGCTCACTGAATGCTCACCAGCAGATCACGGGAGCGACAGCTTCTCACCAGCTGAATCACAGGGCTCACCAGCCTGCTCACGGGATCGACAGCCTCTCACCAGCCTGCTCACCAGGCGACTCACCGGACCGGTCGGCGCTCACCGGGCCGGGAACCGCTCGCAGGGACACTCACCGTGCGTCGGAACAGCGCGTTCGATACCATGATTACCGGAGTGAAGAGCTGCAGACGGGTGGCGCTGAAAAGGACCAACAGACGGTCAGTGCGCGGTCTGACGCAGCTTCTAAGTGGGTTGAACGCGGTTTGCTGAGGGCAGCTGCCTTTGCCAACGCCCTCTCGCTGGGTCTGAGGCGACTGGTCAGGTTACTACCACCATCTATCACTGGGTGCAGTCCTACGGGTACTACCTCAAGTCGGCTTCTTTTGCTGAGGTCTATAAGATGTTTTCTTACAAATCAAAGTTGCATAAGTGCTTGCTCATCACAGAGGCAAACACGTCTTCTATCTATACATGCGAGCATTTACTCACCAAAGGCCGACGACGGGCTCCGCTTCATTGCCACTCAGAATAAACACCGGGAACACCAGCGAGAACAAGCATCCGCTGCCGGCACAAAAACGGCGTCAGTGAGCTGCAAAACACGAGCCAGTGGCATACAGACAAATCACACATAAGTCCGTACTCCTGAGCCACACTCTAACCACTATTGTATGCCACAACCACAACCATTGTAACGGGCCATTAGAGGACCGCAACCACACACACCCATTATAGGGGTGTATCTCACAGGTCACAACACATATAGCTTTGACTTGTAACAGCAGAACAGCCCACACCAGCGTAGCGATGTTCTCACTTCATGATGTAAAAGATAACGATGAGCTCCAACTCACTTCATGATGTAGGAGGGGAAGATCTGTGTCAGCAGCGCCAGCGGCAGGCCGAAGCCGAGGAAGTACGGCCACTCAGTCTCGATGAAAGCCAGCCGCTTGTGCAGCTCCCAGCCCATGTTGAACCACTTGTACTCGAACGAGTAGAGCGCGTACAGGAGGCACATGTGTAGCAGACAGACGGCGTCACCCAGGCCGTAGATGGGGAGCACCAGACTGGCCAGCATTCCCTGTCGACACATGAATTTGCCAGCGTACAGAACAGAGGTTTGTAGAGTCGCAGTCCAGCCTCGGTCCTGGTCAGGTCCCTGCCTCGGTCTCTGTCTTGACCTTGGTCTGTCTCAGTCAGATCTAGGTCTGTCAGATTTCTGTCTAAGCTATAACCTTATTCCATCAGAGTTATCGAGAAATACATTTATCAGCTGCTATGGTCCGCAACAGAAACGCGGCCTGTGAAATAGACGCAATCGAAGCGCGATCTCTTAATTTAAGTCAAGACCACAGCAATATTGCATTTAATGTTTACCAAAATAAGTCCACAGATGTGCAGCCAGCAGAAATATAAGCCACATGGCCGATATTTATTGCCCACTGAAACACAGCCATGCCACAGAGAGCGTGCTCACTCACCTGAATTAGAAACAGCGCCTGGGCGAAGATGCTGAACAGCGTGTCGGCCACCAGGATGCTGACGCTAAGCTGGGACGAGGCGCGGCCCTGACTGCTGCGGTAGGCAGTATCGGCAATGTCCTGACGTGTAGTACAGAAAGTCAGACACAGACAGGACTGGTCGGTCAGGAACGGGCACGCAGACACTCACAGACACTCCACGACACTCGTGTTAAGACAGACATAGTAGTCTGATGCGGTCGTATCGCACCTAATGTTCGGATGAAATCATCCCAAATCATGGGTCATCGTTCAAAGGTTTCAACAAGGAGATACTGATAAGAACATGATGTAAATATGACGGAGAAAAAGCCAGCGCAAGCTAGTGCAAAACGCTCGTAATACGCTGAATTATTATCGAAGGAAAAACGAAGGGAAGTACCCACCTGAAACCATATGCAGTTGATAATCTTGCTAATACCGAAAATCGGCAGCACCCACAGTGCCGAAAAGGTGTAGGTCAAAATCAGATTCAAAATCATCCATACTGACCACCTGAAAAGAAATTGGGAACTGTGCCATAAATCGCTACCTATTTAAAAATTCATATACACTTGTCAAACCCTTCACGATTCCACAGCCAGCATGATGTCAGCATTATGTCAATTGAACACATTTCACTTCTTTGATAAATTGAAAATCCTATACTCGTCGTTCAAGAGCATATCGCCCGTCCGCAGCAGTAGAACCTGGTAGGCAGTAATTACCACCTGCACCAGAGTTCTGAGAGCTGAGTGCAGCCTATCGCACGCCCTGACCCCCTGGATGCCCTGATTCTCACCTCTGAGGCGTCCCTCCGCTCACCTGTCTGAGGAGAGGGCGCCGGCGCCGAACGCCAGCCGCACGCCCAGCCGCAGAGCGGGCAGCACGGCATACTCGAACAGCAGCAGGCTGAGCAGCAGCACACCGCCGTTCAGAGCGCAGCACTCGAGCAGCCGCTGGCGCAGCGATGGCTCCCTGTCAGTGGGACAGCGCCGCATGGTGAGATGGGTGCTCACAGGCACCAAACAACGGACCATGACACTAACCAGGGAGCACTCTGGAAGTGCTATGTACCAACTCATAAAAGATATATTGTTTTCATGCAACAAAGTAACTCTTGAGTTCCACAACGATGGTTTCATGTTGATGTTTAATAGTTGTTAAAGGGTATTAATTATCATGATACCTCATAAACTGAATGAGAAGTCACGGAAACCAAACCGCCTTCATGAAATAAGGCAAACAAGCATTATGGTGAAAAACAAAAGCTTATTACTTAGCAAAATATGAGACAGTAGCCCAAATAAGGTTAGGTAATTTTCAATGAAGTATTTTGTTTCTATATCATCTATCAGCCCCAGCCCCAATCCCATTCAATTCACTACCTATATTAAGCATTCTTAGCTCCCACTATATAACACAATGATAAAGAAAATCATCAGTATTTGTTCAAAGTTACATGGCAAAATAGCATATGTAGGTATGCACTTCAAATAAAGAGGTTGTTAAGTCAAGAGCTGCAAATTCTTACACAATAAAAAGATCTAGGAGTCTAAAACAAATGTAAATTGTTTTGTTTATAACTGAGATTTGATTGTTGTGGAATCATTAGTGGATATTGAGGAAGGTAAGGTATTTTAATCAGTAATTCTGAATTTGCTATCAGTTTCTTTTTGAAAAGCACAGTTTATCTCTAAGTTGACATTGTCTCCTGTGTCATAAATCATCTACTGTACACTGTAGAGCCCACAAAGAGCTGATTCCCTTGCAAAAATGTTCATGTGACTGCTCAAATATGGCTCTTCTTCAAGCACCTGACACCTCTGATGTTTTTGGATTAGCTAAGAGAACAGGCCCCAATGCCAACACCAACAGACTGCAAAAGCTGATGTGTACCTACATTTAATCATATCAAAACTACAGGGTACTTAACTACCTATCTACCACTTGTTATAAATCAAACCACTATATAGCCAATACCTAGTTAAAACTGCAACTTAACCAGGCCATATATAAGTTCTAATAGCTGTACTTACTTTTCTTGAGTTCGCTTAGCTGGCCTGTGTCTTGAATGGTGTTTGGCTTGCTCTGAATGCTTCACAGGGTGAGCTACTTCACTGGCCTTGTCATCCAGGGTAAAAATCAGAAGAAAGCCTCTCACACTGTCATAAATACCCCTCCAAATCCCATATAAAATATTCTGAAACAGAAACACACAGAAACACATGTTAAAATGCACCAGTCAATTTGTTAACATCTCACAAAATTCATCACATTTCAATTAACATTCATTTCAGAACATCTTCATCACAGCATAGGCACCCACCCAACTAAAGTGATTAGTAAGAAATTCAGCATTGGAGGATTGTGCTGATATGGGTTACAATGGGGCAGCAAATCCACCACCAACCTAGCATTAACCTTAACCTTCACTGTCTGTTCCAGCTCCAAAGCCAAGCCGGTATTGAATTGAGGGAGCTTGTGCTCGGACAGCTAAAATAAAGCATAATTCCCCACTGCTGAACAAATAACATCAATTTGGATGAGTAAAAATAAAAGGTCATTTACCTGTAATGCACCCATATTCTGTGTGGAGAAGCATTCAAACAACACTCACATAATAGACAAAATGCAATGATCAAATCTCAGTGACATAAGAGGACTGAAAACAAGTCCAATTGCTATGGCCAGAGACAGCCACTTTCAGATTGGAACAGTAGTCTGTTGGACTTATCTACATTTTCTGAAAAGTGAGAACAATCTCAATTC